TTTTTTTTAACATTAAACCTTAGAGCAAGCTGTAAAGGGTATCTACTAGTCTGGCAGTTAGCCAGCCAAATCTCACTGCTCCACGCTCAGTTTGGCACAGCTGACGCGTTGATTTTATTGTTGATGTTGTTGTTGTTGTGTTGTGTTTTTTTGGTATTTTACAAAATTTAAACTCATTCTTCAAACTCACCACAGAAACCACAATTAGGCTGCTGAAAAAAATTTATTGTTGTTCTAAATCAGATTTAAGCGAATATCTTCAACGAAATCTGCGCTCTCTTCGACTCTCAACACATTCTCCAATTAATTTATATATTTAGTCTTTATTTTAAACACTTTACCTCGTTCTCTTATCACATTTGGCATATCAGGCTGCTCTTGATTTTTGTTTGTTTTATTTTGTTTTGGTTTCGCTTGGGTTTTGCTTAGTTTTGTTTTGTTTTTGGTGAAGTTTTTAACCTATTTTATCTCTAATTATAGATCAAAGTTTTGCTGGGCTCAAATTTATTTTGTATTTTTGGTCGAATGTCACATGTTAATGACCCCATTCTAAATAATAGCCGCAATTATAATGCAAAATATATCGGCATGAATTTTTGCTTTGGCTTTTGGTATTTGATGTCAAATTTGATGTCTCTAACACAAAAATTGCGAATGGTAATTGATACATTATGAGCATTTAGTTGTCGTACGTCAATTAAAATTAAAAACATTCTGGAATTTTTTTATGTTTATTTTTACATTATTTTTGTTATGAATATCAATCATTCTAATCGATTATGTATTTTGCTTCTCGATTAACCTTTAAACTATCTAATTATGTTTAGCAATTAAATATATATTTTGTAATTCTCTATATTATGTCTATGCATTCATTGCTACATTCCTGGCGCCTCTCTTTGCGCTTCTCATGCATTAAAATAACCAAAGTTCCATTCATTCTCTTTTTTAACACAGCTTTTCAAGCGCCTCTCTTTGCGCTTCTCATACCTACTACATTCCACTCAGGTTGCCTGTCTGTCTCTAGCTTTTTGATTGTCTCCATTAATTTAACTTTTCTTGCACCTCTGCTTGCGCTTCTCATTCACAATACATTCCATGGTCAAGGCATCATCAGCTACTGTTTGGCTCTGATCTCATTTGATTTGTGTTAACCTCACTCACATGCAGCTGGAACTCGTAATCTCTCAACTCTAATCGTCGTTTCATGAATGAAAAACTCGGACTTTAAAGTCCAGTGGCTAATGATGCATGGAAAATACCGAAATATCAAAGACCAAAATCGAGTTGCGCTAACCACAAAATGTTCATTAGACCAAAATAACGATTATTGTAGAAAACTTTGAATAATGAGAGTAGATACAAAGTACACATATCTATATATTCATAGCTATATATATATATGTATATGTATAGCTCTAATAGAGCTGTGTTATGGTATGTTTCGTATGATTTATGGTCAGCTAGAACAAAGCTGAATTCGTTTTGGCCGGTTAAATCGCATTTTGGAACAGGAAGTCGAGACGACAAACGGCGACACGCGACAACAACAAATTTTTGTTCTCCAGCATAATAAAGAGCATATTAGTTAACATTTAACCCTAAAGGAGGGCGTGTCGTGTGCCCGACACGCGCTTCTTAAAGATGCAAAAAAAAAAACTACTACAAACACAAATAGCGAAAGGGTTGCGAGGGTTGGCAGGAAATTTCGCCAGGCCGAGACAGCTGCTAGAGAAAAGTGTGCCACGGCTTATGAAATGGAAATTGCGACCAGGAAGCGAAAGGGGGGAAAGTGATTCTCGTTTTCTCTTTCAACAATATTCTAAAACTAGGGCGTGGCTGTGCTGACTTTTAATTACGCCCTGTGCCTCGGCTGTCAAAGTAGCTGAATGCCGGTGCCAGTCAAGATTCAGAGTCCTGTCAGGGCATAAGGCTAAAAAAAACTGAAAACAGAAAAGAAAACATTTCAATTGATGAAGAAATATGAATCGAAAGGTGAAAGTTGCGCATTGTGCCAAAAAAAATCTATTTGGCGTGCTCTACACGCAGAAAAATTAGTTAGACACTTGTGGAGAATTTAAAAAACTTGAAACACAATTTATAGAAGAAGGCTTCATTGATACAGCAGAAATCATCATATTTTATATGCTGAAGGAACTATTTTTCATAGAAGTCTAATGATCTTAATATAATTATAGAAAATCTATAAATCTTATAGCAACTTCAAAAATAAATAAATAAATAAAAAAATAAAAAAATAAAAAATAAAAAAAATAAAAATACTTGTATACTTGTATATATAAAAAAAAGGGTTTTTATAAACAGTTTAATTTTTATAAACAGTTTAATAATTTAAATTTAATATTTTACATATTTTATTACTAAAAAAAAAGGTATATTACATTAGATTACATTAAATATTCAAAATTTCAGCTCATCATTAATTTAGTTTCAAAGAATCATATGCTCATATTAAAAATATTCCAAATTTCCATTAAACTTTGCTTTAGTAAAGTTCTTTGAAAATTTGAACTCAACAAGTTTTCGCTCAGTGTAGCTTTAACAAATAGTTGCCAACAGTTGCAATTGCAATTGCAGCACATCCTGCGCAGCAGCTGTCTCTATCAAGCCGGCAGCCACAGCGCGGCCACAGTTAAAAAACTGAAAATTTAATCCTTTTTTCAGGCTCAATTTGTTGCAGCTCCTGCTGCTGCTGGTGCAGCATGTCCTGGCTTAAGGCAAGCTGCGCCAACTAAATCGAGCGCGTCAACAAAAGGACAAAAGACGATCCCCGCCTGGTTTTTTGGCGGTTTATATCCTTTGCCCTGTCGCTCCCTCTCTCTCTCTCTCTCTGTCTATCTGCCTCCCTCTACTATATATATATTTTTTTGGCATTGTTACATTGCGATTACTTTACCTGCAACACGGCGATTAACACGCATCCTTTTTTTGGGCAACCTTAGCCAACCCTCTTCCTCTTGTTCGGCTTCGTCTTCTTTTGGCTGACTGCCTTTATTGCTTTCTTATATGCGCTTTGATTTCTATTTGCGGCAATATCCTTTATCCATTGTGCCTTTTGTTGTATGCACCGGCTGGCAAACACATTAGTAGTTGCAATCGAACGATTTGCGGGGGAGACGAGGGGCAGAGGGCAATGCAGCAGCAGTAGCAGCAGCAGCAGCAGCTAAAAGTGACAGCATTGCCGCATCCACAAAGATCCTTTAAGATTTTTCAATTATTCTACGATATTTAATCTACTTTTTCTTAAAGCAGATATATCTCTAGCTATCTCTCTTTCTTCCTCTCTCTGTCTCTCTCTCTCACTCTCTATCACTCTGTCTATTTCCTTTTGTATATATCTCCATTATACTATTCCAACGGTAGTTTCTCAGTTTTTATTTCTATAGAAAATATTTTAATCAACATTTTTTAGGGGACCACACATGGATATAGGCTATAGAATTCGAATCGTAATTTAACCAAGTGTTGTACGAATTTTAATCAAAAGGATAAGCAGACAATTTTCAGTACTTCCAATGCAAGTAAAAAATAAATAAAATAGAAATAAGAATGGAGTCATAATTAATTTAACAACTTTTTATAAATCTCAACTGGGAGTCTCTATCTTCAAAAATATATATGTTAGTCTCCATATATACCCCAATATATTATATCTATCTATTAAATATATAAGTAAAATCGTAACGCCTTTATATCATATAAAACTTATATGCTGCCCTCCTTAATAGAGCTGCAAGCCAGCAAAAATGAAAGGGGCCAGTTTCATTCGAAATGGGCGTGGCCAGCTACGCTTATCGCCATGTAACGCCCACGCAAATGTTCAGATTTTCAGCATTTTAGTTTTTACTTTGATTTGTCAAAAATTGATAATCAATCAAAGTCATAAACGAATCGAATGACGTTCAAAAACTGATTATGAATTAAGCATGCTTTTTTTTTGTTGTTTTTTTTAAAATGGCGTGCAACCCCCTGAAATACGCACTGCATTAGGCAGTGGATTTCACTACACTTTTTTTTATGCTGATGCCCAAAAGGCGTAGCTCACAATAATGATGAGTAATTGATAGTGACACAGAGGCAACTAGCCGAGCAATATGGCAGCTGGTTTGGTTAAGTGACACGTAGGGTGGTTGGGTAGGGTTGGACTATCTAAATAGGGGTAGCTGCTGGGGCGCCAAGTGCTGTTAATGATGATGTTCAACCCTTTTTACGGCTAGTTTGTGCCTAGTTTATGCCTTGGTTTTTGCCTTTCTCATTCCACCTTTTTTTTTTGGGTTAAAAAATCACAAATTCTCACTTCATTTTCGTGTCAATAAAAATGCAATTGTGCTTTATACTCTGTTGGGTGTTGAATGAAGAGAGGTATAATGGACTAAAGCAAGGCTCAGGGTGAGCCTGAAATAAATGTTTAACTAGGCGAATTTATTGTAAGCACTGATTAAAGTCTAAACTAGTTATATGTATATATTACAGGGTATGTGTCTAGTCGCTTTTTATCTCCTAAAACGTATTCCTCTTTATACCCTCCCTTATTACAATTACAAAATAAATCCAAGGCTATTATTAGTTCAATTAATATACAGGGTATTTTGCTAGTCGTTCATTTTTTCCCTTAAACACATCTCTCGTGATGGCCCTTTTAATGCCACTTATTTATACCAAATTCACCCATAAAATCTAGATTACTATTAGCTACAGGGTATTCGTCTAGTCATTCACTATTGCCCTACGAATATTCCCTATGATATGTCTTTTAATACCCCTTCTCTCTTGATTTATAGCCATGGCAAGCTGTCGCACGAAAACAATGCCGAGTCCCTGGTATATGCGGCCCATTGGATATCATAATTATGACAACAGCAACAACAACAGCAAGGATGCTGAATTGTTGAACTATGTGGCAGCTAGCAGTCAGGCGGCGTTGCCACCCTTTGGCGTCGGGCTCGGTCTGGGCCTGGGCCTG